GTGCCCTTAAAAATATTCACTTCTTGCTTACGTGACTCCATCTTCACTTTTCTGAAACACAATGGCTTCATCGAGCACCATATCCAAAAAGGCTTCACCTCAAAAGTATCAGGTACATTAGAGCACACAGCAATGGTGAGCCATTTAATAAATAAAGCTCGCATTAAGCAACGATCTTTAGTGGTATCTTTGCTGGATCTTAAAAACGCCTTTGGAGAAGTTCACCACAAGCTGATACCAGCTATTCTTGCTTATCATCATATACCTTCGGAAATTCAATCATTGATCTCAAGCTTATATCTAGATTTTAAGACCTGTATCATAACTGATAAATTCCAAACCCCTGCAATTCCCGTTCGCTGCGGCGTATTGCAAGGTGACTGCCTCAGCCCCCTTCTTTTCAACCTTTGCTTCAACACGTTCATACAATACATCAAATCAGATAAATATAAGCAGCTTGGTTTCTCCCCCCATGATGGTAATGACCGCATGTTTCAGCCAGTTTGCTGATGATGCTGCTGTTGTTACCAGTGGAGAAAAGGAGAACCAACTCTTATTAAACTGCTTTACCAGATGGTGCCAATGGGCAAACTTCATTGTCAGGGTTGACAAATGTGTTACCTTTGGTGTCAAGAAACACTCAAGAAACACTCTACGCGATTCCTTCCAATTTCAACCGAAACTTTTCATCTGTAACCAAATAGTGCCTGCTGTCAAAAATGGCGATTCCTTTAAGTATCTTGGTCGTTTCTTTGATTTTGAAATGAGTAACCAAGATCATAAATCTAAACTCGTTTCTCTTTTCTCTACTCTTATGAAGGATATGACGACTTACCTCTCCATCCTAAAAACAAACTGCTATTATACCATTGTTATATTCTGTCAAAAGTTTCATGGCATTTTACTGTTGCAGATCTACCAAAGACCTGGGTTGTCCAAAACCTAGACAATCTTGTTTCCAATTACATTCGCCAGTGGCTTGATCTTCCTGTTTCTGCAACATTGAGTGGAATAATCCTCTCAAAAAATCAGTTTGGCCTAAATCTACAACTGCGTTCTATCAAATTTACGCAATGCCAAACTGTCTGTCGCAATGCCCTAAAATCTTCTCCTAATATTGACATTCAAACCCTATGGAAAAACACCAGTCATGGCACGAACCTACAGTACGACATCTTTCGTAATACTAAAGAGGTATTAAAGGCTGTCAAATCAGACAACAAAGAACGTCTCTCCCAAAACTTACCATCTCAGGGAGTTACAATTACCTTCCTACTGAAACATTCACTGGAAAAGCTGAACGGTATTTGGTCAAGTACAAAGAGCAATTTGCCTAGTAACATCTTTAACTTTACCATCAAGTATCTTAACAACACTCTTCCAACTCGTAAAAATCTGCTGAAATGGGACCTTAGTCAAACATCTGACTGTGAATCCTTAGTCAAACATCTGACTGTGAATTCTGTCTTCTTCCAGAAACACTTCTACACCTTGTTGCTGGATGCAAAGTGTACCTTGACCAAGGACGCTATACTTGGCGTCATAATTCTGCATTAAACTTCTAGCCACTTCCTTCCAAGCAATAAATGGGTCTTCTCTCTACGCAGATTTACCAGGCTTTCTTTCCCCTTCTATCATAACTGGAGATCAACTACGCCCTGACTTACTTCTCAAAACTAAGGAAAACTGTCTGTACGTTTTAGAGCTAACCATAGGCTTTGAAACAAATCTCAACTGCAATGCTGTCAGAAAGTCAGGGAAATATGCCACCCTCGTATCTGACTTAAAACGTCAGTTTAAGTCAGTCTCGTTTGTCAATCTTTCCATCAGTTCACTTGGTATTTTTGGCAACTCCTGCAGCTCATTCATCGACATGTGTGACTCTTTGTCCATTGATCATCAACAGAAACGCTACCTCATCTCCAAACTTACAAGCATCTCCATTCGCGCCACATACTATATATTCTGCTGTAGAAACAAAACTTGGACTAATCCAGAGCTACACCCCTTTTAACATTTTTTTTCTCATTACTACGATGTAATAATTTTTATTTTGTAAACACAGGCTAGCCAGTTACAAATTACCTTGTAATAGTGAGATTTGTAATTGTAGTTTTAACAGGAATTCAAAATGAAAAGTTTCCATTATTATTACTAGGGGGCATAGGCCTTGGAAAATGGTTCGTTTTAGCGATTGTATCCTGTAATTCTGTTCCTGTTCAATTGAAATATTAACTCGATTATAATTATCAACAGATTGTTAAATATTAACTCGGTTATAACTATCAACAGATTGTGCAAACAAATTGCTGAAAGCAAAAGACCTAAAACATGACAAACTTGACAAACTGAAAAAGACGAAACAGAAAGCATGCTTGATTTAGAGGACACAGCGGAAACTGATATACAGGACATACAGCTTGACAATCTGACATTCAAGCTAATGTTTACTTTCTCATCGGATTCTGGTAGTAGGGAGTTCAGGCTTTCATAATCTGCCAGGTGACTTTTTGGAAAATGCTTGGATGTAACGTGACTGATGACGTCATTTAACGGTAAAAAATCAGACAAAATCATCGTTAGCTCCTCACTGAAGGGTTATTTTTTAACGCAACTTGCATATTTTGATTCGTTTCATTGCAAGCTTTCAAATGATATATATTTAAGCAAGATTTACCGACAAGTATTTTCATTATGACGTCATAACAAATTTTGCATGACGTCATCAAATATTTTATTGTCATAAAATGATACGTTAGCATGATTTTGCTTTAATATGACGCTGGCTGTCAGCAAAAGCTTTTCTTCCATATGTTTTTCAATTAAAATATTAGTATTTAGTTCATTTAAATTGAATTTGTGCCCACCGCAATAGCCAAAGTTTGAAACAGGTAGTAGTCACTATCTGACAAGTGAGTCACTTCTTACTCCGAAGTCGCAAAGTCTTGCTCCCACTCTGAACCGGACAATAATTTCTCTGCATCCGCATTTGAATGTTACACTAAATCGTAAGAATGTCTTGGTATTATAGGCTATCCAAGATGTCCTACCGATGTGCTGAAGGTGCATGACTTTTTTCAATAAGGCTATCTTCTGCTGCGAAATGAGGCCATCTCATAAATAAAATACTACATCTGGCATTTTTCTGATGGTGGATTTATATATGGATTTGGCTCCTTGCACATGAAATTAAGAAGAACAGCGTTATCTCCTTGTCACAGTACACCTTCAGGAGTTGCAAGACTAGAGTTATGGTTTTGATGGGATATGAAAATGCCTTCCCGGTAGAGGCAGCCTTGCAAATCACGAAAGCTTGGTGGTCTTTCTCCATTATTGAGACTGCTTTCGCTGTTTTCTTGGATCTTTGTGCCCCAGAATGCAGCTTAAGTTTCTGACTATACTTTGGTTGCCAGCAACAACCTACAATTCGAGCAAAATAGCTCATTTCTTCGAGATATTTCTTCCATGTTAGCGCTAGTGTCATCAGTCCGTGAGAACATTTTGTAAAAACGCCACCAGAAAACGCCAGATTGGGATTTGATGAGACAGCCTAATATTTGTAATAATCATTAGTATTGTCATTTGGAAAATTCCACTATGTCTATAAATACAATCTTTTGAAATTCCAATACCATTAATAGATATCTACAATACAATGGATAAGCAAACAAATAAACAAACTCAAAATTAAGGATAACCCCAAAAATCAATTTATGTCACAAATTAAACTTTCCTGTAAAACAAATATGAAAGAGTTATTGTGTAAGCAGCAGTGTTAAAATTAAATTTTCTGTTAAAATAATTGTCTACAATCTTTTGTGTAATACAAATATGAAAAAGTTTTGGGTAAGCAACTGTGTTACCATTAAAGAATTATTTCTTATAGACCAGGCGGAGAATAGGGGAATGGTCCCCCGAGGGCAAAATTTATGGGACCAAGTGCTTTTGGTCAATTCGAGGATGCTGATTTCGAAAATCGATGTTATACGGGGAATTTGGGGGGCCATCAGTCTTTTTTTCGTGTTTTAAGTCTCGTTTTCGTGTATTTCATGGAAACGAGTGAGAATAAAGTCTAAAGTGGAAATAGGTGAATTATTAAAGTAGATTTGGTATCCTTGCCTGGCATTAACATTAAACATTTGATTTTGGCTTGTCAGGGGGGCAAGCAGCCTCGTTTTCACAATGCTAATACTTTGATGTCAAATTACGTGTAAAATGAAGTCTTAACATAGCAAGAAATAACAAACATTTTTCAACGTAATTCATCTACATCTACCAATTACTGTCTTTCTGCTATAAAGAAGATTTTGACAGGGTGATAGGCCGGAGTGAGAGGTCATGAGCATGTTCACAAAAGAGAGACAATTGAGAACCGAGTGATTGGAAGCCAGGCCAAGCCGAACCTTTAGTTTCTTCCAGGTTTCTGGGTACATCACTTTCAGAAATAAGTAAAAGTAAATTACCTTTACCAAAGGAAGTTTTATTAGAAGTGTTGTCTATACCTTGTCAAAATATAACAAACACTGTAGAAGAAAAAGTCAGCAGTTGCTTGTTGACTATGGAGGCAAGGGGAAGAGATCGAATGAATGAATTTAAAGAAAGGTTAACCAAAAGTCCTGCAGATGAAGACTTCTTTGGTCCCATCAAGAGAGAGCCTCTGACAACCTTCAAGGACTCATCAGTTAAGACTAGGCTAAAGATTAAAGGAAAAGAAAAAGAGCTCACATTTCAGAGGGACATTCTTGGCATTCTAGTTGCATACTCAAACAAGCATGAAGCAGGTGTAGATCTCGAGACCACCATGTCATTTCCGCTTGCACCAGTATCGATGCCTTTCAGCACAGCAAATGGTGCCATCAGAAAGACCGTTAAGAGCAAACTGTATGAAGCTGCAATGAGCGACGTACCCATCGTTAGTCCAGATGAACTACCACCTATGGAGATATTGAATACACACTTCTTGGACATTGCCGCAGCCATTCAAAGTTGGCCCTACATCTATTATAAGACAAATGGCGACCAACATACTTGCTTCAATTCCAGCCCGGTATACACAATTTGTTATTGTCTGTGAAACATATAAGGACAACAGCATTAAGGGTGGTGAAAGAGTTAAGAGGGGTGTCAGTGGGAGATACGTTTTGACGAGCCCTGACATGAAGGTACCATATGACTTTAACAGCTTCCTTTGCAACGGCAAAAACGAAGGAATGTTGTTTGATCTTCTTTAGTTAGCAATAATTGAGGATCGTAGTCAACTATTTAGGCAGACAGTAATGATCTCCAACAAACTACGAAAGTTACAGAGGATAGTGTTGAAGTTCTTGAACACTGGGCCAGTAACCTCGAAGAAGCAGACACAAAGTTGGCACTGGTTAAAGCTTGGGACTTTCCGCTCGATCATGCAGCCATGATTCAATCTCCCTCTGGTGACATAGATATTCTAGCATTGTTCTTGTCACACGAATTCAACGGAACGAAAATTCTAGTAGATAATGGTGTTGGAAAACAACGAAAGATAATCGACATGACATGAGCGCTACTTGGCCTACACACTTTTTCTGGCAACGATTATATTTCAAGTTTTTTTAGAAAGGGAAAGCAAGCATTTTGGAGGGCAATGCCAAAAAAAGCTGAATTCATTAGCCTTTTTACTGAGTTGGGAAACTCTGCGCAAGTGCTTGACAATCTCTTCAATGGTTTGGATAAGTTTGTGTGTGTATTGTAAGGAAACCAAGGACTATCCTCAGTGAATCTGCTGCGACACAAGTTGTTTGTGCAGAAATTTGAAAGAGAAAGGAAGATCATAGATTTCAGTCCTACCGCCTACCGCCATGCAAAGAAAACCTGAGGATTCATATTCTGCGTGCAAACTTCGTCAACATGATGTTCAGGCAAGCTGATGGTTTGATGCTTCAGTTGGGCTCTCCAGCAGATCATGGTTGGGATGAAAAAGGATCAGTTCGTTGGAGTGAAATATGTTACCCGGAAGATATATCTGAGCTTTTGCTTAATCAAGCTGAAGTCAACGAAAAGCTTGAAACTGAGGATGTCGAGTGTAGTGACTCTAAAGACGACTTTGAGGACCTTTGAAACGATCTAGCTTATCTTTCAAACTTTGCTTAGATGATCCGCAATGATTTCCATTATTTTTATTTATTAATTAGTGATAAAACAGTGCTTCATTTCCCCTATGAAATTGTAAAAAATCAGTCTGGCTAGAGAAATGTTTAGCAGAAATTGTAAAATAACGCTAAAAATTGAATGGTTAACTTTAATTCTCAGCAAAGATACCAAATCTGCTTTTTAGAATTCACCCATTTCCACTTTAAACTGTTTTCTCGCTTGTTTCCATGAAAGACACGAAAACGAGACTTAAAACACGAAAAAGAGGCTGATGGCCCCCAAATTCCCCGTATAACATCGATTTTCGAAATCAGCACCCTCGAATTGACCAAAAGCACTTGGTCCCATAAATTTTGCCCTCGGGGGACCATTCCCCTATTCTCCGTCTGGTCTATTACAGTCTCTCGTGTAATACAACTATGAAAGAGTTATTGTGTAAGCAACAGTGTTGCAAATAAAGAACTATTTTTTACATTATTTAATGTAACTTAAATATGAAAACTTATTTTGCAAGCAGCAGTGCTTTATTTATTAATCATATTTTCACTTACAATGTAAAACAGATTTTGAGAAATTAACATAAAAATGAGGGTTTGTATATAGGTTATGCTTCTTTTGAAGACTTTTGCTCCACTTTTTGTATAGTAGGACTGAATAAGATGAATTGATTTATTTACTAGTTGTGGCACGCTCAACTAAAAATGGTAGGAAAATTGTTAACATACAACAAACTTTAAAAATTTGATTAGCTAAAGGACTTGAGGATAAAGGAAGACAGCTATCAATAATATGGTAATTCTTAATCCTTTCAATGGCTCTTTCAACATGAATACGGACTGCAGCTATGTTGGCAGTTTCTTCAGTTTCTTCTGGTGTTAGTTGGTGTTAGTTGGGCACGGTTCTCTTTAAATGGAGGAATGTTGAGAGTGACACCAACTGGTAGGATATCAGCAATATCAAAACCGCTATCTGCCATTATGTTGTCATAAGGTTCAAGGAGAGAGATGAGACCAGATTTAATTGTTAATTCTCTATCAGATACACGGCCTGACCACAGTTTTGATACAAGTGTGATTGCCCCAGTAGGAGATATTCCAACAAGGGCTTTCCAGGTGTTGTGATGCTTATACTCTGAACAATTTTGTGACTGAGCTTTCATAGATGAAGGGACTTCTGTAAAAACCTCTGTACATTCAATAATTATTCTTGTGGATTGGTACAGTTAAATTCTTCTGGCATTAACTTTTGGATTTGTTGTTGAGACGGGAAGGGAAAGAGAGAAGGCAATTCATGAAACAAGAAGTTAATGCAAGTAGTAAAAAAATCTTTGAAACATGTCCACTTGAGATACCAAATCTATCTGCAAGGTCATTTACAAATGAACCAACTTTCAGGCGCATTAAAACCAAGACAAATTCTTCAAAGTAAGATAACTTGAGTTTTGGACCAGATTTCCCATGTTCATCTGGCCTGACTTGGATCCCCGCCAATAAGAAATATTATCCAACTTTGGTGCTAAATATTCAAAAACAGATTCCAGAGAAGATAAAATTGGAAACCCAGTGTAAAATTTGACAGCTCCATCATCTTATTTCAACTTATCAATGGAGAAAAGTGACTTTTTTGCAATGGAAAGTTCAGCATTCAATTCTGAAACTTTAAGGGACAGTTCATCAATTTTCTGATGGAGAGTGACATATTCTCTCACGTCAGTTGAAGATAAAGGAGATGCATAACAATGATCTGTCATAAGATTAGAAGAGGAAGCATCGCTCAAGTAAACTCGTGTCTTGACAAAAGGAAGTTCAGTCTGAGTTAAACATTTTGAAAATAGAGATGACTCTTTTTCAATAGTATCAGGCAAAGCAACATCTTCTTCATTAAAATCAGGAAAAGACCATATCAGAAGCAGTTTAAGAGGAAGGTTGAGAAAAAACAGATGCAGTACAATCCTTGGGTGCTTTTCGTGTCGTCCGTGTAGTGGTTGTCTTGGGATCAATGAATGGCTTCTGCGAATGAACAGCATCGGCCACTAACTACCAGCTAAGTGGATTTCGCTTTATATCACAAGCAGTAAAGTGTTTTCTTCGCATAAAATAGTGTTTTTTGTAACCATGAAACCATCAAAGCCATCCTTAATCAGTGGTTTTTCCTTGGATTCTTTTGAGGGAATGAAAAAAATGTAGGCCCATCCCACCCTTGTTATACTGAAAATTATAACATCCAAATGCTGCTCATTGTCTTCTTATCAATGATTTCTTCTTCGTTTGATCATTAGAATTTGCCTCAGCATTATTTTCAGCCATAATGATAACAATAAAACTCAGAAATGATAAACTAAGAACGACAATATGTCAAACCTCTAATGTTCACAGATTCCGCAACTTTTCTTACAGCGTTAGCTTCGTTTTCAGTTCCCTGTCTCGTTTTCAAATATATATAGGAAAACGGCTTATTCAAAAAATGAAGCATGTGGCGTTTTTGAATATGATGTGCTCTATGGGAAATGTGAATAAGGGGCGAATCTGATTGGTTTTGAATATTGGAACCCGAATACGTGCACACTTCTCTAAAAGACTGAAACACCTGAAATACACGACTTTTGCAGCGATCAAAATATCACCGCCTTTTTCAACCAAGTTTCGCAGTTTCAAACAAGTTAAATATAGTAGGTGTTTTAATTACTTGTAGTTGTTTTTAATTACTTATAGCTGTTTTAATTAATTGCCTCTTTTTTAATACATTTTTAAATGAATTGTTACCCACTTGAAGCGAAATAGGCTGGTAACCACGACTCGGCACTTTGAAGTAAGGTAAGGAGTGTTGTTTCAGGTACCATAGGTTATTGCGTTAATATACTTACATTCCTCCGTCTGATGTTTAGTACTGACCCTAGTCTATTGACTTTTTACACATGAGCATTGAATAGTCATCTTGATGAGGCCTAAAAATGTGCTCAGTGAGTCTTTGTTACATTAATCAATAATTAGGAACAATTAGAATTTTCATTTACTGATTTGTTTATTTACTCCAAAACCTGCAACAATTCAATAAACGCTAATACATCAAATTGTTAGATTAAGAATGGATTATTCCAGCATCAGAGGGAGTAGAATCATGGAGAATAGAATGAATAGAACGAATAGTCAAATGATGCAGTAAGTACATTTTTACTTTTTTTCACATTTTAACTTTTCAGATGAGGGGGGTGAGGAAGGTGAGGGGAGGAGGATTTACTGTGGTTACTCCAGTTTCTGCACTTACGCTTCGCTTCAGTATGGTTCATCTTGCGCTATCTCAGCATTTTCCATTTCATCGATTACCTCCATATTACCAGTAACATCATCAGCCTTATCATATTGACTACCATCGTCTATTTGACCTTCATCATCCCATTGCGGCTTTCCAATGCCCTTGCTCCCATGGCTGTCATTTTCCATCTCCATCACAATGCTTTCCACAACAAAGGAACTTGAATTGTGTTCTGGGGTTGTTGATGCTTTAGAATGACTGGCACTTAAAGAGGTTGATGAAAAATTACTCCAGTGTTTCGTACTCAATTGTGTTACATTGCTAGCAGATGCCCTTTGCATAATGAGACTTTAGCCAATCAATGCCAATAAATTTGGGTGGCTGTCTTTAGCTTCTCTACCACTTCCAGATGGCAATGATCTCATCTTTCTTAAGAATTAGGTAAATGAAGACCGAATATTCTTGAATTTAATTTCTGCCTCTTTAGCTGAGATGCCAAAATTTGTACCAATTTTAGCCCAACTTCTCTTATTATTTAATTTTTTCCAGAACTCTGAACTTCTGCCATAAATTCTAAAATATTTCTAAAATATTCTAAAAAAGTTTCAAACTCTAAACTTTTATTTTGTTGAGCATGGGTGCTAATATGTAGTCATAAGATTGAAATGCAAGCTCATCTCTGGAAAGCCCATTTGAATAAAAAGATGTCACGATATCTTTGGCCTGCCTTTTGCCATCTTTATCCCTGGTTTCTTTCATTTCATTGACTCTTGGCTCGTTATCTGTATTCACGTATCTCACTGCCACCACAAGCCTATCGGTATTTGCAGTATCAGGTGATATGTCAGCCATGGCAGAAAGCATCCTAGCTTCTCTGACCTCGTTGACAACGCGGTCTTTGACGTCTTCCGGGAGAATATCTACAAACTCATTCTGTGAAGCAGACAACAACTATTTTGTTAATCCTTTTCTTCTGATAGCCAGAAACTCAGCTGAGCATTGTGACGGGCCACTAGCTTTGCGATTTGAATAAAGTTGCTATCACTATCATCTTTCGAGCCCCTGAATGCTATTTGTTGCCTGGATAGGGTTTTGGTTATGTCTAGGTGAATTGTTATGATTTCTTGGTTGCGAAGGTTATCTTCTTCCTCTTGAATCTTTGCAGCTAAAAGTTTCTTGTTAAACACATCAACATGCAGCTTCATGTGCTTCACTGGAAAAATGCAAAGC